TGTGTTCACAATTAATGGACGCAATGTTTATCTCGTTTAACGAAGACTTTCGTCGCGAAAGTGGTTGAGATATTTGTTCTGTTTGTTCGTTATCTGAGTCCGGATTAACCAAAGAGGAGCCGCAGTCTGACTCAGAGCCGCCCTTTTCTTCTGCAGTGATCTCCAAAAATGAGGTCTCGATATCGACACCACTTCTGGACCGAAATATAGCAGAAGTGGCGGGCATTGAACACCTCCGCGACCGGTTGGCCAGGTATGAGGGTTTGGGCGCCACGTATTTCGGTTGCATTGTTTTCCGTTGTTTTTCCGAATTCTGTAGTTTTGGACAAAAAAATTAATATAAAATAAATTTTAAATAATTGAAACATTAAAATAAATTATGGTTTCATTACTTTCTGTGATATCAATGAGAATTTCGTATTTTAATTATATTAAAAATAAAAATAACCGGAAATTATGCAAATATTAAACTTAAAAACAAAAATTTAAACAAAAAAGTTTATTAAATAATTATAAAAATGTAGTGTCCGTGAAGTGCCGGACCTGAGCCCTGACCACACATGCCGTGTCCTCGCATTTAAAATTAAGTCTCAATTAAAAGGTTTTGTTGCATAAAAAACACAACTCAAGGATAATTCAAATGAGTTGTATAAATAAATGAATAATATATTTAATTGACATAAAATACTGTTTTATATAAAATTTTCAATTCAAGATCGGAATAACGATAATAATATGCAAAAAATGTGATCAATGATAATATGTAGAGATGTGTGGCAATTGTGTAGTGATTGTCTTACCGGCACAATCGATGAGACACTGGCTCTTCGAACTCGAATTAAGTTCTGAAATGCAATTCAATCCAAAATCAACGCTAAATGCAATTATAACTACTCTTTCACTACTAAAGCAATGTCTAACGGTTAGACTCTAACCTAAACTACAAAAGTATAACCGATAGAAACTAATAATTGCTGTTTTCTTGCTGTTAAAATCTACTGTTTTCTCTATAAATCATGCAATATTTACTTAAATATTAAGCAATTGTGTTAAAGCAAGTCGAGAGTAAACTACAGTAAAACTATGTTAGAGAAGCCAATGGCTAAGAGCGCTAAACAACTAATATGTAAATGAGATGACTGACCGTTTTGGGCACAATTGTTGTCGATATGGAGCGAATAGATCGGCGAAGAGGAACGGACTCGTTGTCGGAATCGCTCTCAAACTCTAACTTCTTAGTGCCCATTGAATTGAGTAATTGTTTCGTCTTCTCTAACTCTTTGCGACACTTTTCCGACTCTTTCCTCAGGTTCTGGGAATGGATGAGAATCACATCAAACGCGCCGCTCATTCGCTCCTCCTGTTTGACCGCACCGTACAGTTCAGAACGGGACGAGATCTTGGCGTTGGTCTGCGCGACGACATCCACTTGTGTCTCAATTTTGGTCAACAACTCTTTCACGCCTTCTGTCCGCGAGTTCATGAGCGCGAAGTCGTCGTCCAAACCGAACATTAATTCATTTAACTCGCGGACAGACTCTCGAAGGCATTGCAACTCATTGTTGGCGTCGAGTTCTGAGACATCGCGTTGATGTCTCTGGAGGTTAACCCTCTGCTCTAATGTAAACTTATCGGTCTTGAAAGCCAACGATAGTGTCGTGAATTTAGACTCAATCTCCTCTTCAGTCAAACTCTCGACACTAAACGGATTTAAAAATATATATTGTGTTAGAATTGTATATAAAAATGTCAAAATATCATAAATTATATAATTATAACAATCAAAACAATTGTCATCGAAAGCACCTTTTGTTCTTTGCGGCGACAACTGATTTAACCAAATCATAGAGTGATATCTTATTCATAATTACTATGTATTCTTTGGTTGCGAACCAAATGACTACTATTTTATCAAAAACATTAACAAGACTTACAAGAGTCTCACGGATTGAAATCAAATACTGTTAACTCAAAGTGTAATAAATTATATCAAAAGTAAGAAATAAATCAATTATTTTTTATGTAAAGATATGAAAGCCGTGTAACAGAAGAGAGACTACAGTCGAGAGTTGCTATTCCTTCCGATTATTTCCAAACACATCATCATTTCATATATATTTCAGACAGGATTAGGATTTATATGGAATATCAATGACAGCAACAAAATATATTGTTTTATAATAATAAATGTCGTTTATATAGATATCTTTGCGTCAAATACATGTTGTATTCGTGTTTTTATTTCTATATATTTTGTGTTAATTCTATACAAAATATATGCACATAAAAAGAGTCGACACTAAAACTGATTTCATTTTAAAAGTCAAAATAGGTTTTGAAAACTCATTTCCATTTTAAAAGTTACTTCGGATTCATAGTAAATGAAGAATAAAATAAAAATAACAAAATAATCATAAATTAACATTTCTCATAGGAATTATGACAGAAATCATTAATTAAATAAATATCATGTTCTTTAATAGTGATTGTTATTTATAGTGTTTACTGTTATAAACACGGCTACAAACACTGCCATATAGATGATGCACATTATTTATTGCAATTAAATACCATATTTGATTGAATTCTAAATGAATCTAGTTTATTTTCTACTGTTATAATGTCATACTCAACGTTAAGTCGCTCTATAGTCTACATTATGTCTACATTACTATCCATAAGATTCAAAGAGTAGAATAAATATATTAAATTAGAATATATTAATAGTTATTAATAATATCCTCATTAATAATGTCATTATTTAACGCCTCATAAAAGGGATATTAAATAAATTACTAATAAATAGTATTAAAGTATATAATAATAACGATAATTATATGCAATACTATAATACCTGCAACTACTCTCTCGAAGAAGTTGTAATTTTCTGAGAATCACGTCTGGAAGCGATGGAAATAGCGATGATTTGGTTGAAGAAGTTTCGCTATCAATCAAATCGTCATCTGAATTGACAACTGCTTCCATGTCTTCGGAATTGTTTTTTCCCTGAAAAGACAATACAAATTATATTCATTTAATTTATACCATCCATTCAACTATGCTTTAATTGTTAACAATATTTACACTAATGTAAAAATTTCATTTATATTAAACACACACCTCATAGTAAATGTCACCATTTGTGTGGTCAAAATCAGACAACTTTTCATACAACTGATCGTCAATTGAATTCATCGCAGACTAAATGGGAATAAATTTGTTAAATAAATGTTTTTGTAAAAATAAGTTACTTATTGAATAAATGAATGACAGGCACTGATATAGAGACCAGATATAGAAACAAAACTCAAACACTCACACAATCTTTGGGAATATTTTTGTCACAACTTTTCTTATGTAAAGACTTCTTGCGATTGAGTAGTGATGAAGATCTGGAGCTGGCATTCGATGCCATCCTTGTATCGGAACACAACTCGTGTCCAATGGATGAAGAGGTCTGTTCTCCGCCAACACTCCTGTTGTTGTCATTTGTCGGTTAAATATAGAAATAATTTCACAAATTAAATATGTTTTTATTTATAAGTAAATTCTAATTGAGTTGAGAAGAGATATATGAAGTGAGAGAACGGAAACTATTTGTTTCAAAGTAAATAAACATAAAGTTTTAGCCAAAAATTAAAAGGAAAACATTGAAAAATACTTCAATTCCTATTCAATTCGCAAGAAAATCCAATTGAGAGTTGAAACGAGTCATTGAGAAAAATGAATAAACAAATTTCAATTTATTGCAGAGAGAGAGTAGTTGCAGGTATTATAGTATTGCATATAATTATCGTTATTATTATATACTTTAATACTATTTATTAGTAATTTATTTAATATCCCTTTTATGAGGCGTTAAATAATGACATTATTAATGAGGATNGAGAGAGAGAGAGAGAGAGAGAGAGAGAGAGAGATAGAGAGAGAGAGAGAGAGAGAGAATTATAATAAAGACAGCATTCTTCTGGTGTGCAAACCTCGGAAAACAGTCGAATTGTGTCTCAAGAATAGACGGCAATAGACATAAATTACTAAAATCAAAAGCATTGGTAATCCTGCGTCTCTTCATCAGTGAATTAACATAACAAACATCACTGAAAAACATAATTCAACACAAAATTTGCAACAAGAGATCAACACAAAAGTCTCTTTAATATCTCAAATGAATTCAAATGAAATCCTTTTCAAAACACGAAATGTTTTTATTAAATGAAACTCAGATTGAAATGAGAGCTGAAAATAAAAACCCAGAAAAAACAACTACGAAATTAATGCTTATTATATTCTGTGTATACATAACTATAGCCTATCCAACACTTGATTAGCGGATTGTTTACTACAAAATGCAATGTATTTTCCAGTCCTCTTTTTTGCTGTGTATAACATGTATTAAAACTGTTATGAAAAACAGATATCAATTGAATGGGAATTTAGAGCCCAAACCCAAATGTGTGGGGAATACCCAAACCATTTGGTATTAAACACTACATCGAGAAAGTCCTGTATTTATTCCTATCTATTAAGAGCGCCGCACAAGTAGTTCAACAACTTTTCTCAATACAATACTTGTGTACTTTTTCCACTCAAAGCAAGACTACTGTCTCTGTAATACAGAGGCTGTATGTGTTTTGATTGCGCTGAAAATACTAACCGTATTATTAACTCATGATTTTTACCTCACTAATCGTTATTAACTAATAAATGCTAATAAAACATATTATAACCACAAATATGTTTAGTATTTGTGTCAAAAAAACATATGTTAATTTCAAATTTGCCCAAATATAACAACAACTGACAAACAATGTCGTGAATATTTCAATTATCGGTTCATTTGATAACAAATATGTAATAATATCTTAAATTATAAAAATGTCAAATAAAATACAATTGAGAAATTGGTCACCAAATGAGTGACAGGTCTCCAAACATTTGACTGCCATTTATTGCAATTAAATATTTCTATCGATTCCTTTAGAAGTTTAGGAAATCTCAAATATTTCTCATAAATTGCATATTACGAGAGCATAGAATTCATGAGAACATTATTAAACTCGAAATCAATTAATTAATTATTAAAATAAATGTTTGTTTGAAAATATTTCCAACAATTGCAAAATGATTGTTACAAATGTCATAAAATGAGAAAATATGGGATCATAAGGTATTTGTGACATTTCTGTACAGCGGTATTGCCTGATATATAACACATTATAACTTAATGTTTCATTAACTTTGTAAGTAATTAATAAGAAAAAAATGTGTTAATTTCATAACAACTAAATAACAACACTATTTTTATGCAGATATTACACAATAAAATAACTCATAAAACAAATTATCAAATATTGTGTTCAATGAAGTAATAAAACAAATGTTGGAAACGTTTGTTAAACAAACATTTATTAAGAGTTTTTACACAAAATTCATAACCGAAGGTCAAGTATACCAATAGAGTTGCAGACAATAGTGTATATCACAAAAACACCGATAATTAAGTGTTAATTCAGATGTAATTTGATTATCAAATATAAATGTAATGCCAGTGAATGTACAGAAATAGTAATAAAATAATAAATCATTCATATTTTGCTAACAAATATAGGAATACAAAGAAAATAAAAAAGACCTGAAAAACCAGAGCTCATTGTCTCTATCAGTAATTCGCTGTTTTAATGAATCCATTTGTAAATTGAGTTCATTTATGTGTTTGTCTCTATCCGTGCAATACATCGACAACTCGTTCAGTCGTTCAATGGTCTCATATTTGCAAATATTCGCTGAATTCAATGCCTTTTCGGTGACATTCAATGTGTGTCTCAAATGGGATTCAGTTTTGATCGCTTCAGATAACTGTATTTCACTGAATTTCAACTATATATAGAAAAACGAGAAAAAATGTTGTGATAATTAAATTAATTATAACAATCATTATAACAAAATATTTGTGACAAAAAACAGCGCTTTTAAAGTAAAATTGAAAGTTAAACACATATTTTATTTTCAAAACTATGTCTTTAATGCACTAAAAAATGTTAAACACATTAAGCGCTCCATTGATTGCATGGAAAGGAAATTACCTGAGATTACCTTGAGTTCAGCCAAAAAGCACTTTTAATATACAGTATATACTTATGTTTTTTAGTTGACGACAAATATACACACAATTTGTATTTTAAAATTATAAACACAATAAGTTTTCTATTCAATCAATCAGTCATTTAGTACTCAATATTTAGTGCAAAATAAATGATTATTTTTCACATAATTATATTTAATGTAAAAATGAAGTAATGATCGAAGAAAAAGAGTTTCATCTCATTTTAAGTACAACTTCTTTCATAAGCACTAAAAAAGTGCACTTTTTTGATGAGTGACTAAAAAACTTAAGGCTTTAATATAAAAATTTAATACTTTATAATCATTAATGAGCAAAAAATTCTTTGATTTAATTAAAAATTATTTATTAGTTTTTTAATCACTTTCTATTAATTATTGCTTAATTTGCAAGCAATGGTCGGTTAAAAAAATTTTCAATTACTTTTTAGTCGTATTAACACTTAAAAGGAAAACACATTAATAAAAGTACTTATAGTCCAGGAGATCATCACTTGAAGGCAATCATAAATATGAAATACATATAAAAAATTCATGAGAGAGAGAGAGAGAGAGAGAGAGAGAGAGAGAGAGAAAGTCGTGAAATTCAACCAAAAGACGAAAATCATGTATAAATAATTTCAATATCATTGCAAAAAAACTTTCCTCAAAAAACTTATCATTAAAAACATTGACAACTTTTTTGCACAAAAAGACACAAAAGAAACATAAAAATCAATCTTAAAAACAAGAATAATTGCCAACAAAAACACAATAACTATAACCATATGTTTTTACCTTCTCTTCGATGTCTCGCAAACTGACCACTAATTCGTGGTTTTGTTTCACTTTCTGATCGACAGTATGTCTGAGCGTCTCATTCATTGTCTCCAAAGTGTCCACCGATTGTCTCAACTCATCGATGGACTCAACATTGGCCTCAATCTTGTGTCTCAACGAATCCAATTGCGATCGAAAACTCTTGTCCGCACTCTCCCTATCACTCATCAGATCCATCACCTGATCTTCTAAACCCATTATCTCATCATTTAGTCGGCATTTATCGGCAGACAATCGGTTGATAATATTCTGGTAGTGATTGATGTCATCGTCGGTAGCGTCGGAACCGATGGCCAGACTATCACTCGTACCATAACTGCTATCATAGGTCTCGTCGTATGAATTGATTTCATAAATAATCACATCATTTGAATGACTCGTCTTTGCGTTCAATTCATCGTTGGATTCAATCGTATTGTTGTTATTATTGTCACTCAAGACATGGTTTGCATGGTTTGTCTCAATGAACGCCATTACTATGGATTGTGTCCACAATTGTCATCACATATTTACAGACAATCGGATCAATTGGACAGCAATTTGAGACAATTGTGTTAACACTTGAATGTATGGTTAGTTTGCATATAAAAAACACAATACTTTATAGACTATAGAAAACACAGAATCGTCTCATAAATAGCGCCAATACTATAGCAATGAATGTGACGTTCAGTCCATTCAAAGCAAACAATATGTGACGAAATGCACGCATGCGTACAACACGTGACCATTCTATGCGTACAACACGTGACCATTCTATGCGTACAACACGTGACCAACCAATACAACCATTGTATAGATTGACGTTATTTATGGTCACATCTATTGAGTGACAAAAACAAATGATTTGTTGATATATTTTGCTGAAGACATCCGAAGATAATTAGAAGAATCGCTGGAAATGAACGCCAATATGTCGGCGAATATGATGTCCGCAAACAGCGGTCAACAACACCCGCAACACATGACCGGCCAATCGATGGCCACAAATGTGGGCCAAAACGCCGGCCAAATGGCTCAGCATATGATGGCCGACAACTCCGCGGCCGCCGCCGGCCATCAAATGCAGGTTCAAAGCGGTCAGTCGTCGGGAGGGCCGCCACCGCAGGCGCAGCCATCGCAGCCCTCGTCGGCGCCGCCGGCTATGAATATCGCTTACATCTGCCGAATGGGCGATGAAACGGTTCAGGAGATTGTGGCCAAAACGGGTGAACTGTTTCAGGCGTTGCGCTCAATGCCGCCGCCAAATGGCGCCCAACAGTCGGCCGCCGTTCAAGAGAGACAATTGCGGACCCGAGAGCTCA